CTCTTCTCTCTTCTGTCTCATATCAAGGGAAACAGAGTCACCCAGAATGACTTTATAGGCTCTGTCACTTCCCACCCCTAACATGGGAGGGAGGTGAAGAAACTGTTGGCTCCTGCTTATGTCTTGTTATTGCTGCCTTAAATGTGAAGTTAATATGATCCATCGTTTTATACCACACACTTCTCATTACTCCTGCTCTTGCATTCTCCTTTAGGATTCACTTTTACCTTCCTAGATGTTTCATCACTTGGCTCACATCTTTTCTTCGAACCCTCTATTGTTTTTTGTTTGACTGCATTTCCTATTATGAGAAAGGAAGCGTAGTGGTCGAGGGCAGGGATTCTGGATTCATAACACGTGGATTTGAATCCTGACTTTACTATTTCCTAAGTGTATTAAGATAGCTTAACATCTACAGACCTTAGTTTCTTCATTTGTAAAGTGGCAGTAATAATAATAATATCAACATTATAACAATTAGATAAGACCTGCAAAGCACTGAAATAGTCACTGGCACAGAGAAAGCACTTTATAATGCCATCATTATCATTATCATCTTGCCAACATTAGTATCCATATTGTTGCCTGTTGACTTGAAACTTCTGGCCATATTGGCAACCACACATAGCACCACCTTGAACCAGCTCATCACGCAGCATTGCTTTGTTGAAGATTTTGAACCTGGTATAAGTCCTTCTACTTATCTTTCTCATTCCTGAAAACTCCTGGAACCTTCTCTCTATTCTCTTGCCTTAAATTTCCAATTCTCCAAATACACCTAAACACTAGCAACCTAGTTTCCCAACCTTTAACTCTCTCAATTTCCTAATGTGAACATTCAACGCTTAGCGTAATCTTAATTTCTTAACTCTTCTTTGACTATATACCCTTAAAGTTCTCCTCGATGCCTAGAGATCTTATCTGTCCTTTACTAATCAAATGTTCATATCTTCCATGAAGCCTTCTTCATCATTCAAGAATATACATATTCCAGCCCATGACCACCTCGCTCTGTCCAAATACAAAAACTCACAAACCACAAAGATCTCATATACATGACACAATTGCTTACTTGGGCATTTACTGAGAATCTTTATTTAGATGTTTTATGTGCATATGTTATTTCCCTAACTGTATTACAAGCTCCTTGAAAGTAGAAATGCCAATGGAAACTAATAATATGTCAGGCCTTCTACATACTTTACAAGCATCAGTTCATTTAATCTTTATAGCAACCCTAAGAAATAGCCACTGTTATCCTCATTTGATCTCAAGGCAGAGAAAAGTGAAGTCAGGGACAAAGGATATCTTTGGAATACATTGCTGAATGAAGGAACTTACTAATATAGTTCACAATCTTGTTCTAGTTTCATGAATGATTTATCTGCATCAAATCTTAAGTAACTCTTTGTAATTATTGCTAAATAAAGGTGCTTCATTTCTGCTACTCAAGACTATAGGACCACGCCAACAGCCAGAGTCTGACAAATGCTTTCTAAGAGTACATTTGGAGAGACTTCCTCACAGTTTTGGATGCTATTCTAACAAAATGATGAGAAAGCATTTGTATTTTAGTTAGGGTGCTCTTTGCTCTACATATGCACTTTATGAAATAACTTCTGTGAATCAGACAGAGTTTATATATCTACTTTTGCATATCGTCTCTGATTTACAAGAACTGCAGTTTAAAAATATTTAACCTATGTTTACTAACAATCAGCTACTAACTAGTTTTGTGGCCTTTGGAAACTCATATTTATGTCTTTGAGATTTGCTTATCTTTAAAAAGAAGGAGCTGGGGTAGGAAAAATTGGTCTTCAGGGGATTCTAAGGGAGTCATTCACTTATAAAATTATACTATCCTTAGGAGACTTTAGAGGAAATCACATTAATGTAGAAGGGAATGCTGAAGAAACCAGAATTGAAGTCAGATAAAAATGGTAACTCCAATTACCCATTGGAAAACTGACTTTTTCACACAAAGAACTTCCATCTGTAACTGTAAATAAATTATGTCAATGGGTAAGAGCCACTCTCAGTTGCCCTATTTTCTCAAGTACCACTTTTAACACTGCCTCAATTAGTTTAAAAGGCAATCAAACCCCCTGAAGCTGAATATGTTCAACATCAGTAAAATACATTCCTCTTTTGTAAACAAACAAGAAATCATGTTCTAAAAATATACAAAACAAACATTTGTTATGAAGAACTCCTTTGAAAGCTCCCTTAAAGTGAAATTTCCCATTCCCTGCTTTTCTGCTTGTAAGCAGAGTGATTTTCAAACAAACAAACAAATAAACAAACAACCTCAGAACAGGAGACAAAAAGCCAACATTCAGATCTTTGGTTCCTTGTCTAGGTGTGATCTCAGCACTCCAGAGGGAACCCTAAGCTCCATTTTACATACTTATACAATACATTTATTGCTAGTATTAAAATGTGAACTCTTTCAATGTATTTTTATCTTCAACTGTAAAGATGTTTGGCTGCTTAGAGTTCAGGTAGAAATAAATTAAAAAATATTTACTTTGAAAAAGTCTGAAACACACTATGCAAGTAAAGCTGAAATCATTAAGCATGTAAGTTCAATGAGTTTAAAAACATGAAAGTTTTACTTAAAGCAAAATACTTCTTTAGAGATTATGTTACTGTGATGGCCAGATTTTTTGTTTTAAACTGTTTAATGCTGTCCTTATACACTTACAAAAATACACTGAACAAGAAGAGAATTTAAAAATTTGTTTAGCATTAGTATTTTGTAAATATTACATAAATATTCATGTAGTCAAAAGACAGTATCACGTAGAAAACTAACTGCATCATATATATTGTGATATATGTTCATGTATGTATAAGCAAATATGTATACGCATACAGGTACATATGTGTCAACTACCATTTTTCTTTTAATCAAAATTTTAAAGTACTCTGCACATATATAGCTACATAATAGATATATAAAAGTACTATTAGAACGAAGTTGTTTCTGAAAGCTAAGCAGCTAAGGAACAATAGAGCACTTTCCTCAAGATTTTTAAGACTTATGTCTAATACTGAAAGTGTAGTCAAAGAGTATGCTATTATAATACCCAACCACATTCAATCTTGAGTATCATAAATAAAAACATATTGTTTAAATGTCATCATATATTTTAAATTATATGGAAAATCACCATTTCTTAGAAGAAACAAGGAATAATTGAAATCTATACAATAATAGATGATCTCCATTTACAATTAAAGCAATAATAAAGGATCAGGGGAAAGGAGCCTACCTTCCATTGCCCTTTTAAAGAAGACCTTACAGCTCCCACAGGTAAGGACACCATAATGACAGCCTGATGCTTCATCCCCACAGATTAAACAAATCTTCTGAGGTAATGACTCGAAGCTGTATTGTGGGCTCTGGCTGGCTTCTGAATCCGGCCTTGAAATGCAAAACAAAGTACTCCATTTATTTTTAAGTGCACCACTATCTAATACTAAAGGTTTCTTAAACCCGAATTGACATGGTGAAAGGAGATTTTAAAAACAGAACTGTATATATACACTTGAAAGACATGCAAACTAAACTTGGTAATATACTACCTGTAACTGGATTCAACACACTTGCAAATGATCAGCCATTCATCAGTAGCACCAATATAAAAGAACAATTATTACTGTATAATATTATGTTCTGGAAAGTTAAAGTCAGTTAAAAAGAAATCTTTCTACAAAACTCTTTATATAGAAACGATTTAGTCTTTGACAAATGAAATGTTATGTCCTTCCTGTGTGTATGCTGGGTCAAAACAAATACGGTTTGGCTTTAAAAGTTCGATGGTACTTTGCAATGTTTTTGTTTTGAGTTTCTAAAACACAACCCTGTAATCATTGCTTACTTAAACAAGTATATGTTTGTCATTTTAAAGTATTGTCCAATACACTGACACTGTTTTGCCTATTCACAACATAAGATTCCAAACAGAGCATTCTTTTTTTTTTTACATTCCATTACTTCAGTATGCAAATTAGTGTTTTTTAAACCTGCATGGAAAAAAAAAAAAAGTTGTAGTGAATCGCAAGCAATAATTAGAAAACGGTGCAATGCAGTGATAGGTGTTTAAATCCACAGTTTAAACATCTCCCAAGATTAACTTTAATCTTGAGATTCTTAAGAAAACTGAGCCATTAAAGTGTTCAAATCCCTAAGATGGTGCAGCTTTCGGTTCTGGCCGGCCACTTCTCAAGTCCCACCCCTCCCGGGGGAACGGTGCCTTAACTCCTCTCCAAGACAGGCACTCCTGGTAAACGTCCTTCTTCTAAGCAAGAAGCATTTCATAAAGCCCCCAACTCGCCGCACACTTTCTGCCCCGCTGGGCTACAGCGGACCTAGTGTGACGCTGCACGTTTTAAATCAGGGTTGGTTCTGCTTCGGAATCTGGAAGATTTGGAAAGTTTAAAATAACAAAAAACAAAAAAACAGCTTTCAGGCAGGCACGCCCCAAAAATAGTATATTCTGCGCCCACCTTCGTGTCCCCAAGAGTGAGGAGAGGAGGGAAGAAGAAGGGAGGCAACTGCCCCTGTGCTGTGTCCCGCTGCCCACCCCCTCCGGCCGCCCGGGGGAGCGCAGCGGTGCGCCGGGGCTGGGGCTGAGGGTTGGCGGCTGCCGCCAGCGGAACCGCTACTCCCGGACGCGCTGGGCGCGCCCCGCCCCGGGCCCTCACCTCAGGTAGTTGAGATAGGGCGGGTAGACCTGCTGCAGGCCCTCCTTGAGCACGGCGGCCTGGTAGCCGAGCTGCGGGAGCCCGTTGAGGCCGAGTGCAGGGTAGAGCGCGGGGGTCGCCCCGGCGGCGGCGGCAGAGGCGGAGGTGGAGGGCAGGCCATCCCGCGGGAGCAGGCAGCCGCCCGCGCCCGGCGCCTTGCAGGGCGGCGGCGCGAACGGGCCCTGCTGGGGCGGCGCGCCCTCCGCTTTGTACAGGATGCACTCCAGGGTCGACCCCGAGGAGGACGACGACGACACTGAGGCACTGGCTGGTGCGGCCGTCACTGCCGCTTCCCCGGGTCTGGATGGGGGCGCTCGCGGCGGCAGCGGGGGCGGTGGCCCCAGCGGGAAATCCGGAAAGGCGGCGGGGTTGGCACCGGCCACCAGGTAGGAACGCGGGGAGCGCGCGGAGGCCTCCGCGCCTTCCTCCTCCTCCTTGATCTTTAGAGCGGGCGGCTGGAAGTCGCCATAGAGAGGGTACGCGTCGTCCTTGGGATCGGCGTCGGGCGGGTAAGCGCAGTCGGGGAAGTCGCCGACAGCGACCGGAGTGGATGAGGCAGAGGGTGAACTCCGCGGCGGGGCAAAGGCGCTAGCGGCCCCGGCGCCACAGTCGTAGCTCTCCTCTTCCAGCAGGTGCCGAGTGCGGGCTGCCAATAAGGCGTGATTGAGAGGCCGGATGGGCACGTGGATGAAATCCATCGTCGTGGTGGCCAGCGGGGAGCGCCCAGGCGCCATGGGCGCGTCCTGCTCCACCAGGGCGACCCTGGGCGCTGAGAACCGGGAATCTTCCTTGGGGACCAGAGCGACGCCTCCTGCGGCCGCCCCCGGCGGGACAGCCGCGGCTCCTCCTCCAGCCGCCGCGCCACCCAGAGCCCGAGGATTGCCCTTCAGAAGCGGACCCGCAGAGTCCTCGGACTCGGAGCCATCCTCCTCCTCAACCTCCACCGCAGTGGGCTGCGGAGACGGCTTCACTGGGACCCCGGACCAATGAGGGCTCCCAGAGGCCGGGAGCAGCAGCTGCCGGGATGGTGACAGGCCCCGGGGCAGCACCTTATGGGCAGCTGCCGTCCCGGAGCTGTCTCCAGCCTTGCCCCCGGACCGGCTCATGAGCGGAGACAACACTCTCTGGGTGGCAGGGGCAGCCGGTGGATCTTCAGGAAGTTCGGGGCCAAACAGGCACCAAGAGCTGGTGACCTCGCAGGCGGGAGGGCTGGATTGGCTCTGCCCGGGACCTGATGGCGCCAACAGAGTGTCCAAGACACTGTCCAGCAGTCCGCTGTCCTTTTCTGGAGGTCTAGAACTGCTGCCTCCAGTACCCCTTGTAGCTTCAGCTCTGGAATATGCGCCCTCCACGTCCGTCAGCGACTGCTGGTCCTGCGTCTTTTCGTCTAGCGGGTCCTGTCCCTGGCAGGGCCGAGGGAAGAGTAACCCGTCCAGGGAGATAGGTATGGCCGGAACTTCAGGCAAGGTGTCCGAGGTCTGGCTCCCTTGGAACGGGCCTGCGGCTGGGCGACACAGCAGTGGAGATCCGACCTCGGGGGAGGGCGGGCCGCCCGCCACGTGGGGAGCCCGGGGACCCTTTGCCTTCAGCTCAGTCATGACGACCTGGACTCTCTTTTTCTCCTCCCCCGTCTCCAGGGAGGAGGGAAAAGGGAAGGAGGAGGGGGTTTCGGGAATATAGGGGCAGAGGGAGGAGAAAGTGGGTGTTGAATGTGGCTGGACCGGAGGGATCTCCACCTCCTGGGTCGGGGGGGCGCGGGAGGGCGGCGCTGGTCAGCTCCTGCCCTTGGCCTCCATCCTGTTGTCAGGGGAACGGTGGCTGTCGTTTGTCCCAGAGAGCGGCAAGTGGGGAGCGCAAGAAAAAGTAGTTATTGTAGGGATCTCGTCTCCTAACTCGGAGAGTTCTCCAAGAGAGTTCTCCGACTTCTATCCGAGGACTGGAGACGCAGAGTACTCACAAGTCCGGCACTTGAGTGACTGCGGCTGCGACGGCAATTCAGTGACACGCAACTCCTTTATCTCCCGACTTTTTCTCTGGCATCAAACTCGTGCATGCTGTGAAGCTCTCAATCCCTCGCTGAGTTCCACTGCCCCTCTCACTAAAACCCTGGGGCTAGTTGGACCTCTCGGTACAGCCCATTCCCAGGAAGGGTCGTGCTTCTGCTGGCTCCCTACTTCGGGCGACAGTCATCCCCGAAGATCTCAGTTCCCAGCAGTGCGGGAGCACTAGCCGCCTCGGGTTGTAGATTTCACTCAAATGACAAGTGAAGCTAGTTCGCATTGAGAATGCTACCCACACGCGCAAATACAACAAGGCTTACCCCGATTAGTGACAGCTGTGGACTGGCCAGACAGCTTTCTAACAACGCCTCCTCCTCTAGGGAGGCCCCGCCCAAAGCCCCTCCCTACCCCAATTAGGGTAGGATCTGAAACTCTGGAATTGGCATTTCCACCCATTATTCTGAATGCTACTCTCAATAGCAGGTTCTTTGGGATGGAACCTCATAGGCATATTCCATTTTGTTTTGAAAATTAAGAATTATGCCCTATCTAATTGGAAAAACGAATAGATTCTATCAGAAGTGGAATTTTTGTCACCATTTTAAGATTTCAGGTTTGTAAAGATTTAACACAGGAAGACATTTGACTACATTATCTTTTAAAATAATAAATGTATCAAAGATGATTCTAAATACTTTAAGAGATTTTCTCCCTTATGCGTTCCATAAAAGTGAATGCTTTCAAGTTTCTCCTGCTGCAACCAACATGTCTTGCTCCTCTGGAGTAATCCTCAGCGTGACAAAGAAATTTGGGAGTGGGAGATGGTCACACCTGTGTACCTATGATGGAAGTTTGGATGTTGTGTGCCATACTTTGATTTGTCCTAAAGAATGTGTTCCAATTTTTAGTAAATAGCACTTTAAGGAAAGTTTCCTTTAGCTCCAGCTTATACCCTGTGCTACATCATAAGATCCTCAGTAGAGATGTTGAACAGTACTTTTTTCCCTAAATATTCTTAGTCTGAAAAGTAATTATCTTTGAACTCATAAAAATGAATCCCCTCTAAATTCATGAAGTCAGTAGAGAAAGGTAAGAGTATTGCAATATGTATTTTAGATAAACAGTCATAAACTATATTTGACCCAAGACCATTGGGTATTTTAACATCATCTTAAATATACCTTGTTCAAAACAGAGTGAATGATTTGCAGATTTTCTTATAGGGCCTCAAGGTCTAGCTATGCTAATGATTCATAGTTTATCTCAACCATGTATAGAAAATACAGAAGACTCCAGGAGGTGGGGGAGCCACTAGAGGTGAGCAGCCTGGACCCCTCGATCACCTGGGGAGGGGCTACATGAGTGAGAAACAAACCTTTATCATGTTAGATCACTAGGATTTGGAGTTGATTGTTCTAGCAAGTGGTTTACTCTGATTAATTTAGATATGTGGGAGTTAGGCAGATAGAGGAAAGGTAAAGAGAATTCCAGGAAGCAGGTATAGTATGTTCACAGGGCATCTGCAAGGGGACCATTTTGAATAAAGCAGGAGCAAGTGTGGGCACAGAAGTATATGAGACTAGAGAAGTAAACTAATTTATTAGTATCATTATTGTTGTTTTCAGGCTTCTTTTTCCAGCCTATCTTAAAACAGTTACCGTGCTTTATTGAGGTGTAATTCCAATATCATATGACTCACTCAAAGTATCAATCATTGATTTTTCATGTACTCAGAGTTGTGCAACCATCACCCACTATTAATTTTGTAACATTAGTATAACTCTAAAATTTCAATATGCACTAGCAGTTACTCTACATTTCTGCCTAAACCTCCCAGCTGCCACTAATATGCTTTTTGTACTTGTGATTTGGCTATTTTGGATCAAAGTTCATCCATGTTCCACATGAATCAGTACCTCTTCACTCTTTTTATTGACAAATAATATTTCATTGTATGGATAAACCACATTTTATTTATCCATCTCCATCAATTGTTGGACATTTGGGTTGTTTACACCTTTTGGCTACCATGAAAAATCCTGCTAATGAATATTCATGTGCAAGTTTTTATGCAGCATGTATTTTCCTTTCTCCAGGTATATACGTAGGTGTGTAATTCCTGGGTCATATGGTAACTCTAGGTTTAGTCTTTGGAGGAACTGCCAGACTATGGTTCAAATGATTGTACATCTTACATTTCCACCAGCAGTGTATAAGGGTCCTAGTTTCTTCACATCTTTGACAACACTTCTTATCTGTCTTTTTTGTTATAGCCCTCCAAGTGTGGGAAATGGTATCTCACTGATTTATTTGTATTTTCCTGATGGCTAATGCCACACAATGTATAGAATTTGTAAAATCAGGACAGCATTGCCAGGTAGTCTTCTAAGCCCTTTACCTGTGTTAACTGTAATCCTTCAGCAGTCTCACAAAATAGGTACTGTTATCCCAATATCATAGCTGGGGAAACTGAGGCACAAGGTTACCCGGTATTACAAAGTTAAGTACTGTAACCCAAACCCAAGACTTCAAATGACTTCTTAAGAGTGTGATTTTAAATGTCAGATGCCATGTAATTTGGTTTCGCGGTCGCTGCTGTAAAATTGGCACTTGGCTTCATTTTAAATCTGACAAACTGTATTTGGCTTGATTTTGGTTGGTTATAATAATTCCCTTGTCAGAATGTCTCGGGAGGTTGTTTCCAAAAGATTGAAAATCTTGACGTGGGAAGACAATAATAAAGATGTCCAACATGTCCTAAATCACCATTATTCCATAAATTTTGATGCTGAGTGATTAGCATTTTTGGCACAGGAACTTCCCAAATGTATGAATTGTTGAATGAAATAAAATTCACTGATTAAATTCAGGTGTGATGGGCCTAACTTCAAATATTCCTGAAGACTGTTTTTGGAGAAGAGGATTTAAATGTGGAAGTTATTTTTTCTATAGTTTGGAAAAAAACCACGTTATCAAGCTATAGTTGTCATATAATAAACTGCATATATTTAAATTGTATAATTTGTTGTTATACCTGTGAAGTTAAAATGATAAACATACCCTTTGCCTCCAAAAGTTTCCTCATGCCACTTTTTAAATCCCTTCATACTATTCTATCCCATCCCCTTCTCCTAGTACTAATCACCGCTTTCTGGCAAGCCACTAATCTGCTTTCTGTCACCATATATTAGGTTTTAGAAAATATTTATGTCAATTTATTAAACATTAAATTATACATATGCATATGCCTTTTAGGTCTGTTTCCTTTAAATATTTTATTAATAGATTTTACTTTGGGGAACAATTTTGGATTTACAGAAAAATTGAGCGGATAATATAGAGAATGCTCATATATCATTTGTACTATTTTCTCTGTTAGCATTTTAAATTAATAGGGTATATTTGTTACAATTAATGAACTAATACTGATACATTGTTATTAACTAATATTCACAGTTTATTTAGAATTTCTTCATTTGCATTTAATGTCCTTTTTCCTTTCCAGGATTCCATCCAGGACACCACATTTAATTGTTATGATGTCTTGGGCTCCTCTTGGCTGTGAGAGTTTCTCAGATTTTCCTTGTATTTGATGACCTTGACAGTCCTTGGGAATACTGGTGAGGTATATTGCAAGATGCCCCTCTATTGGAATTTGATGTATCTTCATGAGTAGACTAGGGTTATGGGTTTTGGTAGGGGGTGGAAATCAAAGAGGTAATGTGCTGTATTTATTACATCATATGAAGGGTACATATTGTCAACATGACTTATGACTGTTAATGTTGTTCTCCATCACCTGGCTGAAGTAGTGTTTGTCAGGTTTCTCCATTGCATAGTTACTCTTTTTTCCCTCTTTGCATCCTCTTTACTCCTTGGAAGGAAATCATTATGAGTCACTTAAGGAAGTGTAGGGGAGTAGGGTGTTATGCTAGCCCTCTTTTAGAGTGGAGTATCTACATAATTTATTTGGAATTCTGGGTGGAAGATTTGCCTCTTCTCCCCCATTTACTTCTTCATTCAGTCTTTTCTTTATATCTGTATGGATTCATGAATACTTTGTTGCTCACATTTTTCCGGGTTTGGCATTGGGAGCTTTTTCAGTTGACTCCTGTGCTCCTTGACCCACTCTCTGTATTGTGTGTATGTGTGGATCTTCTTACTCTGTGGTATTACAAGATGCTACAGGCTCATCTTGTATATTTCCAGCCCCAGTTGTAGAATCAGCCATTTACCCAAGGAAGTTTGAGACTTCTTATCGGAAGCTGGTATAGAAATAAAGATCTGGATGCCAAATAAATTAGTTTTTATTTCTTAGAATTGTATATAATACAGTATATGCTTTTTTTCATTTGGTTTCTCTCACTCAGCATAATTATTTTGAGATTCAGCTAAATTATAGTATGTATCAATAGTTAATTCTTTTTATTATTTTTATTTATATACTATAGTTTGTTTATGTATTTAACTGTGGATAAATATCTGAGTTGTTTCCAATTTTTTGATATTATAAATAGAGCTACTATGAAAATATTGTACAAGTCTTTGCATGGACACGTGTTTTCATTTTTTCTGGGTAAATACCTAGCAGTAAAATGGCTGGATAAATTAGTAGGTGCTGTGGTCTGAGTGTTTGTGTTTTCCCCAAATCTGTGTGTCGAAACCTAATCATCAATGTGTTAGGCTTAGTAAGCGGGGCTGTTGGGGAGTGATTAGGTCATGGAGTGCTGCCTTGCCCCTTCTATCATGGAGTACATGGAAAGAAGTTACCATCTAGGAACTGCAAAGCAGGTCTTCACCAGACATCAAATCTGTCGGCTTTATTGTGGACTTCCCAGCCTCCTGAACTGTGAGTAATAAGTTTCTGCTATTTATAAGCTACCTAGTTTATGGTATTTTGTTACAGCAGCCCAAATGGACCAAGACAATACATGCTCATTTAACTGTCAAACAATTTCCCAAAGTGATTGTATCATTTTACATTTCCACGCAGTATATTAGAGTTCTAATTCTTCCGTAAGCTGGACAACAATTGGTATAGTCAACATTTTTAACTTTAGCAGTTCTAACAGGTAGGTAGTGGTATCTCATTATGGTTTTAATGTGCATTTCATTAATGACTAATGATGTTGATCATGTTTTCACGTGCTTATTTGCGATATTTATATATTCCTCTTCTGTGTATCTGTGTGTCTGTTCAAATCTTTTGTTTGCTTTTTTTTTTAATTGAATTGTTTTGTTGTTGTTGAATTTTCAGAGTTCTTTATGAATTCTGATAGAAGTCCATTGTCATATATGGGATTTGAAAGTAGCTTCTTCTAGCCTGTGGCTTGTCTTTAAGTTCTTTTAATGGGATCTTTTGAAGAGCAGATGTTTTTAATATTGACAAAGCCTCTTTATTTACATTTTTATGGATTATACTTTTGGTGTCATAACTGAATATTCCTTGCCAAACCCAAGGTCGTAAATGTTTTTTGTCATGTTTTCTTTTGGCTTTATAGTTTTAGATTTTACATTTTTATATATGGTACATTTTAAAGTTACTTTTTAATATGGTATAAGGTCTAGATCAAAATTCACTTTTCTTACATGTGGATATCCAGTTGTTTCAGCGCCATTTGCTGAAAAGAATACACCTTCACTAATTGCCTTTGCACTTTTGTTGAGAATTAGTTATTCAGCTGTGTGGAGATCTGTTTCTGTACCCTCCATTCCATTTAATTGTACTATTGGACAGTTTTTATGTCAATACATTATCTTTATTAGCTGTAATTTTTTAAGCTATTCTTTTTTAAATCCATCTGTGTAAATGATAGTGTTCTTCCTCTAACCTTCCAGCCCTGGGGGTGAGGAGGGGTAGCCCACAGCTGGTTGAGGGAAGAGACAGGATCCAGGGTGTGCTCTGAAGCTACAGATATCATGAGAGGCAACCCATAAAGTTTCTAAGCAGAGTGGTAACAGTGGCCCCCCACTTCTGTTTCTGAACTCCAGCTCTCAGCGTGTTGGTGACTTTGAACCCCCTCCCCAGAAATGGAAATGCCAAAATGGAAGAGCCCTCAGCCACCTAACTCCCTTCCCAGTAGGACATAGAGTTAAAGGCTAGACCATCTTCCCTCCTGGGTGGAACCCTCCTTCCCCCCACGGATACTTAATGTACTAGTGCTCCAACTTTATTCTTCTTTTTCAAAATTGTTTTGTCTAGATCATTTGCATTTTCATGTAAATGTTAGAAGCAGTTTGTTATTATCTGCAAAAAGACAAACAAACAAACAAACAAAAAAAACCCTTCTGCAATTTTGATTGGGATTGAGTTGAAATTATAGATCGATTTGGAGAGAATTGGCTTCTCACTAAAATTAAGTCTTCCAACCCATACAGGTAATATATCTCTCCTTCTCTCAGCAGTGTTTTGAAGCTTTCGGTGTACAGGTCTTTCACATCTTTTGTCAGATTTCTCTCCAATTATTTCATAGTTTTGCTGGTATTTTGAATGGTGTATATATTAGCTTTCCATTGCTGAGTTAGCAAGTACCACAACTTGCTAGCTTGAAAAAGCACTCAGTTATTATCTTACAGTTTCCATGGGTCAGGAGTCTGGGTATCGGTTGGATGGATCCATTGCTTAGGGCTCACATGGCTGCAATCAGTGGATAAGCCAACACTGCGTTGCCATCTGTGGCTTAGGGTGCGCATCTAGGCTTATTCAGGTGACTGGCAGTTGTAGAACTCATGTGACTTTCATCTTCTTTGAGGTCAGCAGGAAACAGTTTTACTCAAGCTTTTTAAGGGTTTCTGCCTGATTAAGTCAGACCCTCCCAGATGATGTCCATACCCATATTATTCAAAACTGATTTGGGATTTTTTTTTTTTTTTGCAGTCTCATTCTGTTGTCCAGGATGGAGTGCAGTGGCATGATCTTGGCTCATTGCAACCTCCAACTCCTGGGCTCAAGCAATCTTCCTGCTTCAGTCTCCCAAGTAGCTAGGACTGTAGGCATGTATCACCATGCTTGGCAAATTTTTATTTCTTTTTTTTTTTTTTTTGGAGATAGGGTCAGTCTTGCTGTGTTGCCCTGGCAGCTCCCAAACTCCTGGGTTCAAGTGATCCTCCCCACTCAACTTCCCAAAGTGCTGGGATATGCAGGCATGAGCCACCTCGCCTGCCCTGATTTGGGATCTGAATTACATCTTCACATTTCCTTTTGCCATAAATGTAACATTATCCCCAGGAGTGACATCGATCATATTGGCAGTCAAGTCCACATTCAAGGAGAGGCAATTATACAAATACTGTACCACAGCAGGGCAGGAATTTTGGAGACCATTTTATAATTATACTGAATTTCTGTACTGTGCATTCTTAGACACAATTGATCTTTAGCTGTAGTGATGAGGTTGGGAATCCTTGCCAGTTTGTTGATTTTAGGAAGAAACCATTCAGTCTTTTAACATTAAACATGATGTTTGCTGCAGGTTTTTCATAGATACCCCTTCTCAGGTTGAAGAAATTCCCTTCTACTCTGAGTTTGCTGAAAATTTTATTGGGGTAGATGTAGGTTTTTGTCAAATTTTATTTATGCATCCGTTGAGATAATCATACAGTTTTTCTTTTTTAATTGTTTAATAGAGTGAATGACAGTCCTTGAGCTTTGAATGTTAAATGAACTTTGTATTCTTTGGCTAAATCCCACTTCATCATAATGTATTACTTTCATGTACTGCATTTTGATTTGTTAAAAGCTTGTTTAGAATTTTAAAATTTCCACTCATTAGGAATACTGGCCTGTTGGTTTCTTTTCTTGTAATGACTTTATCTGATTTTGGTATCATGAATGCCACTGTATACATAGTATATTTTCTTTCTTTCTTTGAGATGAATCTCACTCTGTTGCCCAGGCTGGAGTGCAGGGGTGCGATGTCAGCTTACTGCAACCTCCGCCTCCTAGGTTCAAGTGATTCTCATGCCTCAGCCTTCTGAGTAGCTGGGACTACAGGCACATGCCACTACACCCAGCTAAT